TGCATAATTTGAATACTGAAATATATTAAGGGGAAGATATAGGAGAAGATTACACTTAAAAAACGCACAATGATTTTTTAATTTTGGATGCTGTTTGTTATCATAACAGGTGGTACTTCAGCCAATTGCCTATAGACCAATCAAGTTATTAAAAAATAAGCCTTTTTTATCAAAACTAACATATAATCAAAACCTCAAATTCAAGATTTTGTCCATAACTTAAAAATTTTGTATTTCGAGATTTGACGTCGACAGAAAACTTTTTCAGAAAAAAAGATACACAGAATGAGATATGCTAAATTCAAATCAGAGTATAAACAAAAAAGTTATTGCAAAGAATAACAAAATAGCTGTTTTTAAATATTGTTAATAACTTTTTATGGAGACGGTCCTGCAAGCGAGAACAGTAGTTTCGTTGATTTTCACTTCGTAATAAACTTCAAATACCTAATTGGGGAATTACAAGTTAGAAAATTCAACAGAGTTCAAAAATAAGTGTACAAAGTTAAGTTCATACAGGTGAAGTAAGATTTTATATATTTTTTTATATATATTTTAATATATTATATTTTAATAATTTTAACAAGTTTTGAGTAAATAAAATAATTGTGTAAAAGAATAAAAAACTGGTTTTGGCGAATGTTTTAAGCGTTTTTTGGTTTTTTAGCAGATAAGAAAGTAATTAGTGCTGACAAGAAATTAAACATCAAAATAAAAGCCACATAATTTTATTACAAAAATCCAGATCCGGCCTTAGAAAGTTAGAATAGAATTAAATTAAATTAAAATAATAAATAATATTTGTTATTGATATCATGATCAAAAGAATGCAACAACTAATAACAAAAAATGAAGAAATGATGAAGAAATAAAGCAAAAGTAAAGTACAGATGGGAAATAATAAACAACTACAAGAGTTAAAGGAGGAAAACAGAAAATTAAAAAACGACTTAAAACAATTACAAGACAGAATGAAACAACTGAAAAAAACAAGTAAAAAGAAAAGTTTAATTATATCGGGTTTAAAAACAGATACAAATGATGATAAAAAACTAAAAAAAAAGCATGGCAACATTCATATCACAAGAACTCCAGGCGCAAATAAAACTGAGGAATGCAACAAAAATAGGGGAAACAGTATATGCCATAGACACAGAAACTTCTACGGATAAAATTAAAATACTAAATGGGAAAAATAAGTTGAAGTATCATAAAGATCGCATCTACATAAATAATAATCTGACAGCAAAAGAAAAAGAAATACAGAAAGAAATAGTCTAAATAGCAAAGAAAGAAGAAAGTAAAGGAAAACAGACAAGAATATGCTCTAAGAAATTGTTCGTGAATGGGAAAGAATGGATATGGAATGAAGAAAAACAACAGCTAAAAGAAAATACCAAAGAAAAATTGTCAAAAACTAGTAAAAGAAAAACAACCGGGACGATATAATACCGAAACGGCAAGGCAAAGAAATACGACCATGGAAAACGGGAAAATAAACGTAAAAGAAAGGCAACAGTCCAAGAATATAATAAAAATTGGGACTTGGAATGTGAGAGGTACTTATGAGCAAGGAGCTATAAGAAACTTAGAACAAATTATCGAAAAATATACAATAGATATCCTTGCCCTGTAAGAAACGAAACAACTGGGAAATGAAATGATAAAAATAGGAAAGAGCACACTGTTCAAGAGTGGGGGGACCAAGAGATATTTCGGAGTGGGATTCATGGTGTCGGAGAATGTAGATTTTCAATCAATATCAGACAGAATATGTTACCGAAAATTTGGGTTATTCAATCAACGTTGAGAGTAATAGGAAAGTATAGGAAGATTAGCATTATTACTGTAGATGCGCCCACTGAAGATAAAGTTTTAGAAACCAAAAGAAAGTTCTACAAAAAGCTAAGCTCCCTAATAGGGAATATACAGACATACGATAAAGATAAAGATAATCATTGGAGACATGAATGCAAAAGTCGGAAAAGAGGAAATATATAGAAGAATAACAGGGGGCGAAGTTTACATAAGGAATTAAATGAAAACGGGTTGGCAATAATCATGGCTATTCTGACCTTCGAGGCAGCTGCTGTAAACAATTACCTTGAGCTGCAATTAAACCACTCTCTTACGTTCTTCTACCAGGAAAAGCGTCTTCTTCCTACGTTTCTCCTACCCTCTATTTTTCGTTGAATTATGAGTCTCATGATGTTGTATCTTCGCCTCTCATCGCATGAACGAGATATTGCAATTTCCCTCTCTCCCTATTTTCCTTAGCATTTCTGTATTCGTAACTCTATCTACCCATTGAATCCTTACCAATCTTCTAAATGTCCACATTTCAAACTCGTTAACAGAAACGCGTTTTAGAGACACCAGAACAGCTTATAAGGCTAGTGAGAATGACGCTTAGGAACACGATGAATAGGGTAACAATGGAAGGAAGCTTTTCAAGCCAGTACACAGTGAATAGAGATTTAAAACAAGGGGATCCATTATCAAGGAATTTATTCAACCCAGTATTAGAACAAATCGTAAGAAGATCAAATATGAGCACAAACAGAACTATTTTCAATGGCAGAGAATAGTGCATAGCGTACGCGAATGATGTGGTGATACTAGCGAGAACAAAAAAATCATTTAGAAAAGGTTTTCCAGAAATTTTAAGAAGAAGCTAAAAGATATGTATTTATAATAAAATAAACAAAAACGCAATATATGGTAATGAGATGAAACATAACAAATAACAAATATATTAAAATAAAAGGAGCAGAGCAATAAATGTGTCAAGAACAACTAAACTGCGAGTCTACGAGACAGTAATCAGACCCACAGTGATGTATGCTAGTGAAACGTGGATGATAAACTAGCAGGAAAAAAAGAAAGTAGAGATCTGGGAAAGAAAGTTGCTCAGAAACATCTTCGGAGGAATAAAGATGGCTGAGAATATTTTGAGAAGTCAAACGAATAAACTACCACCCTAATATAATTATATTTCAAATAAATAACTCCAGAAATAACAATAAAAAGCGACATAAGAAAAAGTTTGACATCCGTGGTCATTAGCTACTTTGTTTTGGATAATTTTGTAGTGACAATACGATAACTGGTATTATTGTAAAGTTGTGCCCTAGCTTACAAAAAGTAAGAGCCAATTTAATCTAGTCGATCCAGAGATGTGTCATTCTTTTGCGTAGAGAACGCTCTATTTTGAAACGGTGTTGGATTTTTTGGATAGCTCTACTGAGCCTTCATTCGGTTACCCTTACTCCTATTACTCTAGTCGGAACGCAAAGTAGTCTTTGTTTACAACACTCTTGTTACAAAAAATTTGTCACTTAACTTAAACAAAACTTTACTGAGTTATTGTAAATGTTTATATACTTAAAAAGTGCTACTTATTATTAAATTATTTTGTGAACATAAATGTATTTTTCTCATAGGATATTACTATACGCCATAACGAAGAAAATTTTTTTTTTTTTACATCCTTTATTTATTGAAATCTGTTTCTACAAATAAAAAAAAACAATAATCAATATGTTTATCAAGTAATTAACATAGGGGAGATCAGTCCAGTGACAGAAATCCTTAAGATAAATTTCTAATATATATAAATATTTGAAATATAAATAACAATTTACAAAGACATTTTATTAACATATTAAAAAAAATAGCAATATTTAAAATTAAAACAACACACACAATTATAAGTTTGTAGGTATTTGTAGTATAAGTTGTAGCTATAAAATGATATATTATACGTTTATGTATATAAAGGTATAGAGAGGTCTAGAGGATCACGTCGTTTTAGTCTTCCTCTCCTTGGTCGCTTAAGTAGGTCTTGGGCAAGTGTATTTGGATGGTTTAGTAGTCTATTTTTGTAAGTGCCACTGAGTGAGACAACGGTGTCTTTAATATTTTGGATCTGAAGATCTCGGTGTATAACATAATTGGGCACGTACCACGGTGCATTGGTAATATGTCTCAAAACTTTAGATTGGAAACGTTGAAGTTTCAGTAAGTGAGAATTAGATGCTGTACCCCATATCTGTATACCGTAGGTCCAAACTGGCTTTAGAACACATTTATACAGTAATAGTTTATTATGTAGACTTAAATTGGATTTTTTATTCATGAACCAATACATTTTCCTGTATATTAATCCTAGTTGCAGTCGCTTTGTCCAGATGTGCTTTCCCCAATTTAGTCGGCTGTCAAAATGTATTCCCAAGTATTTAACATCACTTTTTTTTGGGTATTATGGCATTGTTTATGCACACAGATGGTACACTCTCTTTGCGTAAAGTAAATGTTATGTGTGCTGATTTGCTGCCATTTACTTTAATTCGCCACAGTTTTAGCCATTTCTCTAGTTTATTTAAATGAATTTGTAAGTTTTGACAGGCTGTAACAGGAACCGAGCTAGAAGCCATTATCACAGTATCATCTGCATAGGTAGCGATAGTGCTTTTTACTGTTGTGGGAATATCTGCCGTATAGAGTAAGTATAAAGTTGGTCCCAATATACTACCCTGAGGTACTCCCGATAGAATTGGAGATATGTTTGATACTGCTTCATTGCATCTGACCTGGAAATATCGATTGGTAAGATAGGATCTCAAAAGAGCATACAGAGGATGAGGAAAGTGAGTTTTATTTTAGATAGTAGCCCCTCATGCCATACTTTATCAAATGCTTGTGAGACATCCAAAAAGGCTGCAGTGCAGTATTCTTTCTTTTCAATCGCATCTCTTGCTACTTTGGCAACTCTATGTACCTGCTCAATTGTTCCATGTCATTTTTGAACATTCGTGAATGCGAATATATGCTACCGACTTTCGCGGATGAGAATATTCAGTTTTTTTTTAATTTGGCAATTTTAATTGTCTCCGGCACTGCCAGCAGTCTCATTTGCGCGGGGTGTGTAGTTAGATAAGTTCAGATAAATTTAGTAATTCAGCAATTTTACAGAAAATATTGCTCACAAACTTAAAGACATGTTGTCTTTTTCGGAAATACCCAAAGAAAAAATGAAATGTGTAGTTCGCGATCCAGGTGCTAATATGAAAGAAGTTGTTAAATTATTAAATGTTGAACATATTGACTGTGCTTCTCACAAGATTCAAAACATGTTAAAAGCAGGAATGAAGGCTCAAGAATCTGTCGTGACTGCCATAACAAAATGCAAAAAGATGGCAACTCATTTTTATCATTAGACTGCTGTCCAAGATGAGTTGACCAAAAAAGGCTTAAACAAAAACCTCTTAAGATTATCCAAGAATGTGCTACTATGTAGAACAGTACTTTTTATATATTGGAGCGTATTTTTCAACTCAAAGAGTCACGTCTGTATGCTTCGGCAAATAATAAAATTCCTCAACTGGCTTCTGAAGAGTGGATGATTGTTGAAAAACTTATCGGTTTAGTAAGACCATTTGAAGAAGTAACCAGAAAGTTAAATGCTATCTATGTTTCTATTTCCTCTGTAATTTTCTAAATCGCCATTCTAGAAAACTATATGTAACGGAGATACCTCTAGGACTAATCAAAACGATTGAAAATATCCACCAAAACAACATAATAAAAGTAAAAGTAGAAGAAGAACTAACCGACCCTATTGAAGCTGGCAATGGGATAAGACAGGGAGATTCCCTGAGTCCTCTATTGTTCAACCTGATTATGGATGAATATTAAAAAAAGTAAGAACAAAAAAAAAGGATATCAAATGGGAGAAAAACAACTTAAAATAATCTGCTATGCAGACGACGCAATACTACTCTCTCAAAGTGAAGATGATTTAAAACGTATGCTGCACCAATTTAATATTGAAACCGCTAGAAAATTGAACATGTTAATTTCCTCAACAAAGACAAAACGCATTATTACAACAGCAAATTTACTAAGATGTAAATTGGAGCTGAAAGATCAGATAATAGAACAAGTGATGGAGTTTAAATATCTAGGCATCACATTATCTAGCTATGAAAAGCTCGAAATCGAAGTGGAAGATCAAGTGAATAGAGCAAACAGAGCCGCAGGCTGCCTAAATGAAACAATATGGAGAAATAAAAATATCGGGAAATAAACGAAAGGCAGAATTTACAAAAGTCATCAGACCAATAATGACATACGCGGCAGAAACAAGACCTGACACAGAGAGGACAAAAAGGATGTTAGAAACAGCAAAGGTGAAAACACTTAGAAAAATTGATGGTAAGACACTATGCGACAGAATTAGAAGTACAGATATACGACATAGATGCAAGGTGGAGAACATTAAAAACTGGGTAAGAAATAGAATGAGTAGAATTATACGATCATATAAGCCGAATGACAACACATAGAGTAGTAAAGACAGCAAGAAACGGTTCCCCAATAGGAAGACGATCAGTAGGAAGACCACGAAAACGATGGAATGACTTACTGGAGGCACATTAAAAAACAGACAGAGTCATGTCTATATGATAAGAAGAAGCCATTCTAGAAAAAGTTGTTCATGATCTTGATTCATCCGATAAACACATTGAAAATAAGATTACCGTCATAATCTTCATTGATTCAAGATATAAAGCAACATTTTTTTAAAATACGTGGACTAAAGAGCTTGTCATAGAGCATATTTTGGATTTGCTCAGAGACCGTCAAACCGACATATCTTCCAATTCACTTTACCGGAATCCAAAGCCTGTCTGTCCTTAAAAGAAGTGATGAGTTCACTGATGGATACGAGTGAAGAAGGTGACATGCCTCTTCTTAGTTTCCAAAACCATGTCCATCGTTCAATACGTAAAACTGTCACAGAATACTCATCGGCAAACGCGTGGAAGGTGACGTCGACCCTCTAACATGGTGGAAAATTAACAAGGGAATGTACGATCTTCTTTTGCCTGTAGTACGGCAATATTTAGTTACACCACCAAAGAGTGTCCCGAGTGAGCGCTTGTTTAGTGGCGCTGGACTTCTTTATATGCCACATCGAAACAGGCTTGAAGGAGAAAAGGCGCCGAAGCTTTTGTTTCTAAAGTTTAATATTCCTCTTGTTATTTGAAAGTTTTTACTTGAAAAATAAGTAAAAACAGATAAATGTTATTTTTTAATTAGAGAGCAGTATTTTTGTTAACACAAAATTAATATTTTTGGAAAAGATCTATAAGCAAATAACAGCCTGTTTATATTTGTGTGTTTAAACTCTTTACATAAAAACTTTAGACTATTTTTAGTTTGTAGTTCAATAATGCTTAGTTTTTTAAGATGATTGTCTAAAATTAAATACTTCAGGATAATAAAATTTTCAGAGAATAATTTGTTATTGTTTGTTTACATTTTATCATTTATTTTTTGTTTTGTAATTTTACAGTTTTATAAGCTTGTAAAATAAAGTGAGTTTTTTAATAGGGATGGGAAAAACCTACCGGTTTTAGCCGAAATCCGATTTTTTTTACTTCGCAATAACCAGTTTTATCAGTTGTTTATTTGTCCCGGTTATAACCGGTTTTTATTGTTAAAGTAAAAACCGGTTATTAGATTTTGCGGTGATTAGGATTAGGTTAGGTATTATTTTTTATCCCAATCATAATTATAATTGTCAAGTAATTATTCCAAACAAAACCATAATTCAAATTTTGATTAAGTATATTGATATTGAGTCGAATGAAGTATCTCATACTAAAGTGTTGTAACTTTGTATACTATACTTTGTAACCTATTGGATTAAAAAAAAAACAAAAACGGTTTTGGAAAAACCGGTTTTTTGGCCGGTTATAACCGCCAGGTTAAACCGTAAGCAAAAAAAACGGTATAACGGAAAACCAGTGTTTTGTCAAAAACCGCCATCCTTATTTTTTAATAAAAAATATGAGAAGTGAATGGATTTTTATTTTATTAACCTTCCAAGTATTTTTGTTTCTTATATTCATATTCGCAAAACATTCGCACAAATTTCGCAAATGCGAATACGCAGAAAGATGCGAATATTCATTACATCACTAGTCCATACAGTGTCTAGTAAAAAAACTAACTTAGTTATCCTATTATTGTACATCTTTCATTCGTATAACCTTCTAGCTTAGGTTTTAGTGTTAATGACTACTGACGTAGCCGTGACCGACGGCTTTACTTGCCCTCTGAAGCACTGTTAAATTAGGAATGAAAAAATTTCTAGTCCCTGTGCCGAGATCAAACCTTGGCCGTTCAGCTTGAAAAGCCAATACCTAGCCTTTAACCTATGACTTAACGCAATGCAGAATGATCCTCATAAACTGAGAATAAAAGGCAAACCCAGATCACTGAAGAGATGTAGAATGTTGGCAAGCAAATTAATACTTTTTAATAAAAACAAGTCAGTAAAAGTATTGAACAGAAAAAAATGAAAATTTTTTTAGAATTGTTTATTAGATGTAGTGAACTGTAGTTATACCTATTTAGGAGTTAATGAAATTTAAAAATAACTAAAAAATTTATAACTTGAATATCAAGTACAATTTTTTTATAGTTTATAATTGATTATTCAGAAATGTAAAATTTTATTACATTGTATGTTTTCAAAGTAAGTAGGTATATTCTATTATTTTATTTAGTGTATCTTGACTCACTTTTAATACAACTTTTTATTTTAATGACTTTTTAATATTTCTAAAATTATTTATAGGTATATTTCGTATTTTTATTTATCTGTTTACTATTACTGTAATGTAATAGTATATTTTAAAAAACAGACATGCGAAAAATCTCTCACATTAAGATAATAATAATCTCTTTCATTTTTTGTAGATATTGTCCAATAAACCAACTTTGATTGTTTTTACATTTTTGAATGAGTGGTAATATATCTAAATACTGAGTGAGTAAATTTCCTGTAAATAATTTTCATTAATTTTTGTAGTGGTGTAAAAAAACTAACCTCCACAAGCATCTTTAAAATCTGAGCAGCAGTCTCCCAACTTCAAGCAGGCATGGTCACAATAGCAAGGTTTATCGCTCAAGTCCTCAATGATCGCATTAACAGGAGCTTTTTGTACAACGCAGGAAGAATCTCTCCCTGTACAACAAAGTTTAGCTTCTCTACAACTACCGCACATTACGCCACAACAAAAACACGCAAGAATCAAAAAGATAATTGCGGCACGCATTTTGATTTCGAATATAAAATACGAAAAATTTCAAAACGGTTAATATTTTTTAGTATTACCTTCGAATAAAACGATATCGAAAAAGTCCACGTGAATTTGGAGTTGCGGCGGGATAAACGCAAGCTCTGTACTGCACGGCCGTTGACTCAAACTGGAATGAATAGCGCTATCGAGAAGCAGACAAGCAGCTTGTGGCTGTAGGAATTTCTGAGCACTTAGGGGTAACGTGGGAGTACGAATGCAGTTTCGGTGGTAGGGTTGGAATGTAATGCACTTGCTTGTGGCTGCTGTCCGTGTGGCGGGTTTTTTTTATATTTCTTATGCCTACTTGTTATATTTCCGGCGCGTGCCGAGATATAGTAGGCGATTTTAAAGCGAGTTGGTAAGGATGATACAGTTTTTTTTTACAAATTTTAGTTTGCTAAAAATTTGTTCAGAGAATATTAGTAGAGAATATTAATTAGAGTTAAACTAACTTTATATAAAATCACTACATCGACTATAAAGTAAAATAATTTCTTGTGTAGGATGTAAAGAGGTTTAATTATTCATTTTGAGAGAACAAGTTGCTAATCATAAAATACTAAGTTTAATACATGTGTTTAAATTGTCGGTTTCGGATTATACGTTTATTTTCAAGAACATTCAAGAAGATCTGCAGTCCAATCTATATTAATTTTATTTTCGTTGAACTTTTTAAAATATCTCCTAAACGTAGTGCGTGGAATGTTGTATTTTAACCCTTTGAGACCTGACTTTTTTATTTTCAAAAAAAAAATCTTATGTGTTTTTATATTTCAAAAGTCTTCAATTAGTAAGATAACATGAAAAAAACTTGTGTACGCTTTTAAAAAAAAAATTTTTTTTTATTGTACATATGTATCTACATATGGTCTTAAATATAAACTCAACACTAAAAATATATTTACTACAAAGTAATTATTATTACATATTTATTGTTCATGAAAAGCTGCAAAACAGTTTCTAGCCTTAATGAAACACATATGTATTTTACATTTTGTACAGAACACATGACTACGTCCATTACAATCTGTGTTTTTACACCTAGTAGCCTCCTTCTTAGAATCAAACTCCGGTATGTGACCAAAATTGTCCGTTTGTATTTCCAAAAATGGTCTCGTTTCTCCTCGTCTTTTAAATGTTGAAATAGAAGGCTTAGGAGATGAAGATGCTGGTCTTCCTCGTTTTCTACTTACTGAATTGCCCATATTTATTAGGCTTTCGGCAACTCTGACTCTGAAGTCTAGAAATTTCATTCGATCCTTATTGGTTGTATTACATTTGTCGCAGTCCTTCCTGTTTTCCAGCCAGCTGTTGGTGAGAACGAACTCTAGCATGTGCATAATAACACGCAATGCCCACTTTCGCGATCTAATAAATATTCGATAATAATTAATCATCTGGTCCATTAGATCAACTCCGCCCATTCCATAATTATAATCTTTGACAATTTCAGGTCGGTTAACATCTACGTAACAAGAGCCTTTTTTGTCCCATCTTCTAACTATGTCTAAATTACCTGCACCAACATAATTGGAGGCTAATTTCACAGTCTTTGTATCTAACAATTTGACTAGCACCACAATTTTTTCTTAATTGACGACTTCATCTACGGAACCTCTCGGTAGTTTCAGCATTTCATTGTCTGATAACACAGGAGGTTTGTAAAATCTATCTATTCGAATAGTCCCTCCAGCATATATTTTTTTGCCAATAATATTTCAAGTAGTTCATAGGATGAGAAATAATTGTCATAATATAATTTGTGGCCTTCACTGGTGGAAATTCTTTCGGCTAGTTGAAGAACAATAGATACCCCTAATCCATGTTTTGTTTTATTATCTGCATTCAGTTCTGTAGATTTACCCTGATAAAAAACAAAATCAAAAGCCTTACCACTTTTTCCGCACAAGACGAATAATTTTATTCCCCAAGGACAGGGCTTCCCCTTCACAGATTGTTTTACGGAAAGTTTTCCTGTGTAAGGAATAATTTGCTCGTCAACACTAAGTACTTCCTCAAGTTCAAGCTGTAAACATCTCTTTTTGACAGCGTCGATAATAGGACGAATCTTATAAAATTTGTCTGTATCACCTGCTGGTCTTTCCAAATTGTTCACTAGATGTAAACATGTTCTAAGCTGGAAAAATCTGTTCCTAGAAATGTTATCTAGGAACATTCTAATACCAAGGCTTCTTTCCCAGTACATCCTAATTTTGGGAAATTTGTTTAAATTTCCAGTCATTATATGAAGTGCAAATAAAATTTTAATTTCTCTCTCATTAGTTGGTCTAAAAATTTTTCCGTTCTGTAAGGCATATACATTTGTAAATGTTGCTATATTTTTAAACAAATCATTTGAAATATACTTCGAAAAATACTGAATTGGGTACAGTGGCTCTGTAAGACTTGTATTTGGGGAAGTAGGATGCCATGTAAATGTAGGGGTCTCTATCGATGCCTTAGTCCACTCTACGGTTCTCTTTTTTGTTTTAATTTCTCTTTGTTTTGCTTTTTTAGAACAATCCTTTTCTGAGAAACATACTTTACTTCCTATTTTTTTTTGTACCCGAGTAACCTGCAACTTCATCGGGTATATATTCGTTGTCTGAATCATAAGTTCTCCCTAACTCCTCATTATCATTTTCGCTGCCATCACCTTCTTTCAGTGTCTCAGTGTCACGTCTGGTCAAAGCATCAACCCCTGGTCTTATAATAGATTTATTCTCACAGTTATCCAGAATTCCATCCTCCTCATCAGAACTCTCTCCTCCGGGAACTTCCAAATTGTCTATTTCTGATACGTTACCGTCCTCTATCAGGTCAATTAACTCTTGGAGATGTTTTGGGTTGTCGAAATCATATTTTTTCTTTCGTAATCCATGTTATCTGCAATCAACAATACTAAGTTTAAACCCAAGTTTAGACCATATGTACATACAGATGTACAATCAGAAATATGCTTTCAGACCACTTGTACATGCTCATGTGCATCTAAAAAATGTTTGTTTATTTCAAAACTATCGTTTTTATGGCAATGTTTTGTACTTTGTAAAAAACTACTTACCTTATAAATCAAACTTAAAAAGTTGGATCGATTTCGTTTCACAAAAGATAACAGTCTCTCGTAAAATAAAACTAGCAGTATCGGTTACCAACTAAACAGCTGACACTTTACAACAAAATCGCTGACAACTTTACCTGTTGACCACTAGATGAAAGCAGAAATTAAAAATGTGGATCGTAAATGTATATTTGAGTGACTGAATGCTATTTCGGTATAGATAAGTGAGTAATTGGTATTTAACAAAACAATAAAAGCTATGTACATACACATGTACACAGGGTCTCAAAAGGTTAAAGCAGCAGCCTTTTGTGATAATTCACCTTCTCAAACATCATAAATCGCTTTTCTCATATTTTGGTATGTAGTTTTTCCAATCCCAGGATTTTTTGGTATTTTCCGTGGCATATTACTATTTGAAACAAAATTATTTTGATTTTTTTGCTGAAATAACAATGACCACTGCTTCTTACACACGTATGTAGGAACAATAGCCACCACTTTTTTTGTCAAAAGCAGTGGCCACTGTTCCTGCATAAGTGTGTGACCACTGTACCAAAAGCTCATTGTTCAGGAGGCATAACCTAAAATCTACTACTTTGAAGATAGATCATAATTTGCATCACCTGCAAGTTTTAAATACTATACTGTATACCACAAAAGATGCAGAACGTATAATATGATATTATTAATAGTTGAACACATATTTAAATTTACCTGTTACTTCTACACAACACCTCAACAGGTTTTTTTTGGCTTTAGGGTAAATACCCACACAGCCAGACACAAATTTTTAAAAACAGATACAAGGATTACACAGGGATTATACTCTTCTCGCCCAGGGGCAGATCAGGGCATTTTTATAAACGATGAAAGGTAGGCCTCGGACAGATAGGTATGCATACATTGAGGAAAGACATCAGGAAGTAACAAAGGTGGTTATATTTGTATATTCGTTGTTCTGACGAAACACAGCAAACAATCGTAAATTTATTTTTTGTCTAAAGCAAGATGAAGTATATTAAATGGGCTTTCAATGTTTAATTTTAAAAGTTTTCTGAAAAGCTCATTAGATTGAGCTCTATATTTTAAACAATCAAAAAAATGTGGTCCAGATCACCGATTTTATTACAGGCTTTGCAAAGATCACTCTCAAGTATTTTTATTTTAAATAAATGTGCTGGATAACATGCGTGACCAAACTTTATTCTGCTGATAGTAGTTATACTTTTTCGACTGTAATCGTACTCCTTGTACCAAGGTTTTCTCCTTAATTTGGTTTCAAGTCTGGTGTAACGTGTTGAATTTGTAAAGTTGTACTCTTCCCATAAATAGGACCATTTCTTCATCATTCTCTGTTTTGCTATGATTATTTGTTCGTCTGTAGTTAGTTCGTAATTTATTTGTTCCTCCATTACTATGCTTTCTTTGGCAATTTGATCTGCAATTTCATTGTTTGTTATTCCTGCGTGTGCTTTGACCCAGAAGAATTTTATATATTTATTTTGATCTTGTAATTGTTTAAGTATTGCTTGGATGCTAAAAATAATTTCATTAGTTGTGTTTAAGTTTGATTTTAAAATTTTAAGAACGGAAAGTGAATCGGAAAAGATTATAGCATTCTACGTCGAACGCCTACCTGCTAAGACCCTCCTCTGTTATCCAACAATCCGAAAGCAAAATGACCGCTGTAAGGTCGGCTTCACTTCCGAAGCACTAATTCCATTCATCCACAGACTGTCAGCAAGGAGGCTTCCTGCAATGCATGTTTCGAATGGGGTGATCGATATCTTACCGATCGATCGATCTTCCTGTGGTATAGAAGCGCAAGCATTCTGAATCTGATTCCGAAAGTGTTGCAAATTCATTGACGCAGCAACATTCTGCCTATTAAATCACATACATATTAAATGGG